AGTAGAAATCAAGCACCAATCGTGTCGATATTGCTGCCGTACCTGGTTGTGGGGCCGTTTTGCGGCGGTTCCAATGGCCCCAAAGCACGAGAAAGGAAACACGACCGGTGACCATGATGCTGCTGATGCTTGCGCGCGCGTGGGGTGGTTGAAGGGCAGGGTGGAGGGGCGAGAATCGGAGAGGCGACGGCCATGCCGGCCCATGCCGCCAGGCCCTACAATACTAGGATCCTTATTATAAGGGACCCCAAAATAAGGTACCCCGAATTTCGGAAACTCCCATATCATAGTAGGATCATATACATAAGCCCCAAGCGGTTAAAGGTTACCTACACCCTCTGGGCTGACTCTGCATTTAGTCTTCGGCTTAGGGTTTAGGGCTTCAGGGCTCAGGGCTTAGGGTTTAGGGGTTTAGGGTTTAGGGCTTAGGGTTTCGGGTTTAGCGGTTGGGGCTTTTGAAGACTCTGGGGTAGCGAGAGAAACCCCACGGGTCATCCTTGAGTTCGAATGCTCCACTCCATTCTGTTTAGGGTTTAGGGTTTTAGGGTTTGGGGTTTTAGGGTTTTGGGTTTAGGGTTTTGCCGACAAAACTCAACCACCTCGTTTCTTGAAGGTAGCATCATCGAAACTAGGCTCACCAGTAGCCCCTTTGTAGAGTACCCTTGTTCTTCTCGGTACTCGGTTTTTAATAAGGAGAGCCCAAAAATAAAACCGGCAGAAGGGTGCTACGGAGGAACCTAGTACATGAGATCCCTGGAGACCCCAAAAACAAGAATGATGTGCTCCCTAAACCCTAAACTCTTGGGCTCAGACATACGGGTGGTTGTCAAAATTATGGTTCCTTTTTGGGTCCTTATTATAATACGGCACCTATTATTTAAAAAGGGACCATAATTTTGACAGCTACCCATACTGAAAGATGATCCCAGGTTACTTAGTCGGCTACTAAGTTCTATAGTTGCCTCTCACATGCCACTGCTGCAGCAAGGAGCATTAACCAAAGTGTCCTTCGCACCCCTGTGGATCTCTAGTCTTAAGAACTTCTGGTTGGCTTTCGATTTCCTTGCTACGTACGTATAAGGAAAAAGCTCTAAACCCAAAGCCCGAAAAGCCCCTAAACCCCTGAACCCTAAATCCCTCAACACTCAACCCCTGCACCATCTAAATTTCCTAACCGCCCAAACCCTAAACCCATCCCTAAACTGACAGTCTGAAGCAATCGATTTCGTCCTCGTACCAGTCGCCGAGGGGGCGATGGGAACCTTCTCTACGTTAAGGATCAGGGGGCTTAGTCGGTAAGGCGATAGGATTCCTTACGCAGACTTTCTTAAGGGTTCGATACGGACTGAATTAACTAGTAGGTGGAATTTTGGTTTACGGTCCCTCTCTAGGCTGGCCGCTTGAAAAATCCTAAATCGGATCCAGTTCTGCAGTAATTGAACGGTTCTAATCACAATATAGCCCCTTGCCTTAAATATTAATGAGGATTTAATTTTATGCTTTATATGCATCTCAACGTTAAGACTTTTTGGGCAGGGGGTCAGGGGTCGATGTTCCTGTTCAGAGTGCGAAGAAAGCTAAACGGACGCGGCCCCTTAACGACGTAACGACGATGCATGAGAGGATTCCCACACTTACCTGTAGCCTGTAGCTTATAAGTCCTTCCCGTCTGTTACCGTAAGGGCCATAGTCTGGTTTCACCTAACTTTGAACCCTAAATCCTGAAGCATAAAGCCCTGAGCCAGAATTACTGAAGCCCCCAAATGGGCCATCAGGTGCCTGATGCCTGAAAATGTCAAACCATGACTTCGCACTACCACTGCTGCGCCAACGCAACCCCCTCGGACGACGAGAACGAAGCCTTGCCGCCCTGTGCTTTCTCAATGACATAATGACAGTCGGTTTGCACAGTTCGTCTGAACCGACGTTCTAAACAAAATAACCAACACTCGAGAAAACCAAGCATGTTCTTCGGTATTGGCCTTCAACCTATAACCCTGAACCCTAGAACCCTAAACCCTAAACATTACAGCCTGACGCCAGAATCGTAAAGCCCCTTCCCCTATCTACATGAAGCGACGAGAATAGAAGAGTGTAGTCAGACCTTGCGCAGACCCTTCAGGCCGTAACATAGCTGTCTGAATAGTTATACACAATATACTACAGTATAAATGTACCCCGAGGCCCGGTGAAATTCTTGAAGGGCTCTAACTAGAAACTTCAAAGCACCCTGTAACACATATGTAAAATCTGCATCTCCGATCTTCCCGTCCCGTTCGCCTGGCTGGTAGTGGAGAGGCGGAGGTATCACGTGCCAAAAGATGATTCGGAGGAAACGCGGCCGCACCCCATCTCAGTGGCTGGAGGCTACGTCAGGGGCCTTATATAAATCAGAACAGGGCGTCGGGGCGATATCATACAGCGATATTAAGGAACTGTCAGAAATGATATTGCGAAGTATTCAGGCTTCTACGAATTTTCATAGAGGGCTTGAGGTTTTAGGGCTCGGGTTCCGATGACAGGCTTTGGTTGCTTCGCTATTCAGAGTTGATCGGTGAGCCTTGGAGTTTGGGCCTGCGTTTAAGGGTTTAGGGTTTAGGGGTTTAGGGGTTTAGGGTTTAGGGTTTAGGGTTTAGGGAGGGCACCCGAATTTGCAACAACTCTCATTTCAGCCGTCTGGCTTTGATCCTATGAGCTTATGAGGTCGTAAGGGAGTACACACGATGCAGGGGTCCTCCTAATGAGGCTCCTTCTGCTCGAGTCTACTTAGCATATTATTTTAAATTATATTATACTGTGTCTTTTGTTGTAAAACAAAAATATATTTCAAAGTATTATATAGGAACCCCCTATCCGAATCTCAAATCACTTCCCCGGATCGTAGACTCGTGCCTGGATGCTTGCAGCCGCCTGTCTAAACCCCTACACTCGTATTGCACTAGTATGCTTGAACCTTTCTAGCCCTACCCGGTGAACCCTAAGACCCTACATCAGGAATCCTATAAATGAAGTAGACCTCCGAAGCTTGCACCGTCTCAACAACCAGATCATGAATCCGAAAACCCCACAACCCTCACCCCTAAACCCGTGACACCCAAAACCCTAAACCCTAGACCCTAAACCCTAAACCCTATACTCTAAACCCTAAACCCCAAAACCCTATACCCTAAACCCTAAACTCTGGGACTCAACTTTTCGAGCCGGGGGCGCTCTTTAGGAGCGCGCTCAGAAAGCTGCAGTCGCTGCAGCCAAGTGTGATCTGCAGCAGATCGACCTAACCGGAAAACTCATTTTTGCCAGTTTTTACGGGCTTTGTATAGTAAATATGGTACTAGTGCATAGTTTTCTTCATACAGGAATCACACGCGCAGCATTAACAAACAAGTATAAGAAACATCACCAACCCTTCAGACCGATGCTGGCCGTATTACCGGGTCTTATGCCTTTGGGTTGAAGGATTGCGCTAAACCCTAAACCCTAAACCGCCAAACTTTGAACCTGAGCCTAAACCCCACTGCAACAGCAGACTTGCCGGGACCCCCGCACCGAGATACCCTGCCCTCCCCAACAGTTTAGCCCCTAAAGCAGTTTAGACCCTAAAACCCATAAGCCCTAAATCCTAAACCCCCAAACCCCAAAACCCCAGACCCCTTAAGCCCCTAAGGGCGAGGGATCAAGAAAAAATTAAATCAGGATCAAAAAAA